CATCGTCACTTTAGTATAGGTATCTCTTTTTTCGATTTTTTTATTTATCAACGAAGTCTTTTTTTTTTTTTTTGAGCAATGATTTTCTATTGTATTGGATACATCGTTCTCTTCTTTCACGTATTGTCATTCAATCAAATTAAATAATTGAGTCTTTTGATTTTTCTTTACCTCTTAAATCATGATGTTTAACTGTTGATTGCTTCCTTTGTTTATTTAGTTCTTTGTGATGTCAGTTGATTACCACATGCGATTATCTGTTGATTGTGACAACCAACAAACATCGCTATTAGGTATAGCTCTAACGGTCTTAGATTCTCTATTTACCCTTTCATGCGCTTCTCCAAGGTCACACACACGCGCTTGGGTTGGGGCTTCGTTGAGACATATGAGTTAGGCTTGTGTATGTCACTTGACGGGTCCATATTTGTCTTAAATCGGAACTCCTTCATAACATATTCTAGTTCTCTCTATTCTCATTTTTCGAGTGTTTTGGTTATTCAAAATTTTCAAATGATTTTGTTAAACAATCAACCCGACATCATTACTTAGTTTTAATTTAATCCCTAGGGAGACAATCTTTTGGTAACAACAACTCATTACACTGCAATTAACTAATCTATGTGTGATCATCATATCATCTCTTGGTAGTGCTACATTACATTATGCCTATAATTGGGGAGTTTAATGTCAAATTAAATGTTTATGGGGTTGCTCGTGAATACTGAGAAATATTAGGCTATATTATAAAAGGTGAATTTTTTTGAAAGAGTCAGTAAAGCACACTCGATCTTCCTTTATCGTTTTAGAATTTCTAACTTCACTTTTTGACGGCTATCTCTTATTTTTTTTTCTTTCAGATTTCGATTATGGTAAGTGTTAATTTTTTTTTTTTTTTTTTATCGACAGCCTCTAAATCCTTAGAATGGTATTAACCATTCTGGGAAAATTGAGTTTACATAATACAGATGGTAAAGGTGGTGACAAGCATTTTGAGCTAACTTGTCTGCCTTTGAATTCTGCGCGCGAGAAATTTTTGAGATTGTGAACATCTCAAACTCCTGCCTGGTTACTTCGTATTCCTCTAGGTGAAGAGCGAAAGCTGGCCATCCTTTTGGATTAGACACCATCGATAAGAGTTCTGAGCAGTCTGTTAAGAACGTCAGCTGCTGCCTCCCTGCATCTAACATACAGTGCATTGCCCATATTAATGCCTCAAGTTCTGAATGAAGAGGTGTCAGACTTCTCCCTACTTTCCGGGCTCCCATTAATACACCCATAGTACCTATCTCTTCACTATACCATCCTAGTCCTGAATTCAAATCATCCTCCTTCCATGATCCATCCGTGTAGCAGATGACCCCCTCCCTGTCCTGAGTAATTTGGATATTTTGTGGAACGCTTATTTCTATATCCCCAGTTTGTGCCCTATCCCATGCATCTGACACTGCAAGCTTAACTATATCCCTAGGGTCCCTCATCTTGTTTGTATAAATCTTTTCATTACGTATTTTCCAAATATTACCCATGTGTATACCTTCATATTGTCTTGATTTGGAAGGTGCCAGAATAAGTATGCCATATTAGTGTATAATGCTCCGGTAGAGTATCGATCAATAGGAGTCGGTATTGGCGATAAGGCCCATACCTGAACTGCCGGAGGGCATTCGAATAGGGTATAATTTATGGTTTCTATCTCTGCCCCGCATCTGCTACATTGTGTATCATATTTTATCCCCCGATCCTTCAGCCGTGCTGTTACTGCTAAACACCCAGAGAGGACTTGCCACATAAAATGTTTCAACTTTGGTGGACATTTAATGGTCCAAACTTTTGCCTGTAATTGGCTTATATCTGGTCCAAAAAAACTTAAAGATTCATTATCTGGGTATAGTTGCTCTGTCAAGTAACCCGATTAAACAGTGTATCTTCCCGATTTGGTGAAATTCCATCCCCATCGATCTTGACGATACTCCTTTACTGTCACCAAACCTGTGATAAGAGGGATGTCTTCATTATCTATCAGTTGTTCCAATAGTGGTCTATTCCACATTGATGTTTGGGAGTCAATCAATTGATTAACTGTTAGCTCAAGGTAATAATTAAACCCTTTACTAGTAGCTGATCTCGGGCGTGAGGATGGGATCCATGGATCATTCCATACTGAAATCGAATGCCCTGACCCAACTCTTTTGATAAGTCCTTTTTAACCAGAGATCGAGCAGTTGTGATGCTCTTCCATCCATAGGATGGAGAATATGATCGGATAGGTTCCAATGGTGTTCCGTCCCTTAAGTATCTCCCTTTGAATACCCTTGCAAAAAGTGAGTCTGGAGCTTCGATAAGTCGCCAAAATTGTTTAGCCAGAAGGGCTGTATTAAAGTCTTCTATCACTCGAAAACCTATTCTACCTTCTGCTTTTGGTCTACAAAACTTTTTCCACGCCATCCAGTGTAAACCTTTTGTGTTACCGTTGTTGCTCCACCAGAACTGAGCCACTGAACTTGTTAGCTTTGTAGTAATAGATTTTGGTAATCTGAAGCAGGACATCGTGTATGTCGGAACTGCTGTAAGTACTGATTTGATGAGGACTTCCTTTCCTCCCTTGGATAACATTTTCGATGTCCATCCATTAGCCCGTTTCTGTTGCCTTTATAAGATAAAATCGAAAACCTTCGTTTTAGCTCCTCCCAGGCTCTCCGGAATTCCCAGATATGAATCCATTCCCCCTAACTGTGTGATGCCTAGCATATTGTGTAATAGTTCTCTTGTCGCCTGTGGAACTCTGTGCCCAAATTGTACTGAAGATTTTGTGAAATTAATTTGTTGACCTGATACGACCTCATATCGCTGTTAGAGTTGCAACAGTATAGTCGCCTCTGCCTGCGTGGCCTTACAGAAAAAAGACTATCATCCGGAAAAAGCAGATGTGAGACCGATGGGCTAGTTCGGACAATCCTTATGCCAGTAAGTAATTTATCCCTCTCTGCTCTTTTAACATTAGCAATTAAGGCTTCTGTACAAAGAATGAAGAGATACGTTGACAAAGGATCCCCTTGTCGAAGGCCCCTTTTTAGAGGGACATTTCCGGTTGGGCTCCCATTGATCAGAATTCTGTACTGGACTGATTCGATGCAAGTCATAATCCAATTAATCCATTTTTCTGTGAATCCTAATTTCATCATTAAATGCCTAATAAATGGCCTTTCTACCCGATCGTAAGCCTTACTCATATCCGTTTTGATCGCCATGAAATGTTTCTTACAAGAGTTATTTGTTCTCAAGCCATGGAACATTTCCTGTGCTATCAGAATATTATCTGATATTAGTCTACCTGACACAAAGGCCGATTGTGTTTCCGATACCAATCTTGGTAATAACTTCCGCAAGCGTTGACATAGGACTTCGGATGTTACCTTATATCCCACATTGCACATACTTATAGGCCTTAGTTCCGTCATTCGAGTTGGTCTCTCGACCTTTGGAATCAGACATATGTTTATCATATTTAGCCTCTTATCAAATACTCCTGATTCAAAGAACTGGTTTACTTGATTGACCACACCTCCTTTAATAATATCCCAAGATTTCTGAAAAATAGTGTTGTCATTCCGTCTGGTTCTAAGGCTTTTGTTGGATTCATCATAAATAGTGCTTCTTTTACTTCTGCCTCTGTTGCCGGTTTTGTAAGCTCCTCATTCTCCTGGTCCGTTATTTCCGAGTCTAACTCTCCCAAAATATTCTCAAAATCGTTTGGTGATGTAGACTTAAAAAGTTCTGAGAAATATTCTACAGCAGTTTTCTCAACCTGTTTTCCCCCCCGTGACCCAGGTGCCCTGACCATCATGTAGCCCGACAAGCCGGTTAACCGTCCTTCGTTGTTTTGTGAGGGCGTGGTAATATCTGGTATTTAGATCCCCACATCTGTTCCAAAGATTTCCACTTTTCTGTTGCCAATAGTCTTCCTCCTCTCGGTATGGTTCCCATAGTTTTTGTGTGATCTCGTTAAGTTCCTCTTGAGTCCTTGTGTCGTCCGTCTGAATCTCCTCCAAATGTTGTTGAAGTTCTTTAATCTTGTCTCTGCCAAATGGTACACAGTTTTGTCTCCATTTGGAAATCTCATGTCGACATGTGATAATCCTATCTACCAATGATGGGTCCAATTGAGCATTATGTTCATTCCAGCCTTTTGATATAGCATCCATTAAACCTTCCTTTCCAATCCATCTCTTGTCAAACCGAAATTGCTTTTTCCGTTTAATTTTCCTTGAGACTATTGTGGCTACAATAGGTCGATGGTCTGATCCTATCATTCTTAAAAATTCCACATATGAAAAAAGAAAAAGTTCATGCCATTCCTCCATTGCCAGACCTCTATTCAGTCTGCATCGAACATTTTGTCCATTACGTCTCCTTTTCCAGGATAATGTATTCCCCTTGTTTGGAAAGTCAAGTAATCCACAATTGCTAAGCACTGTATTAAAGCCATTAAAAGATGACGCTTGTCTTACTTTTCCTCCTTGTTTCTCATGATTTCCGGTAATTTCATTAAAATCTCCAATTAAAAACCACGGTTCATTTCTATTTAGACTGATTCTTGTTAATCTTTCCCAAACTTGATCTCCAATCTCTGAACTGGATCACCATATACAAAAGTCATATAAATTAATTTTCCTTCCTAATGGGCCTCTATATCGATCATCCTTTTATTAGAAAGTAAAAGTTTGACATCAAAGGTTTTATTACAAAATAGTGCTAGTCCTCCACTGGCTCCACACGGTTCAACCGTAAACAATAAATCATACCCAAAATGCAATTGAAATTGTTCAACAAAATTAAAACACTGCTTAGTCTCAGAAAGAAAAAGAAAATCTGGCCTAAATTTCCTCTATACCTCCCTAAGATAGCTTATTGTGTACCTATTACCCAAGCCCTGGCAATTCCAGCTTAACACCCACATCTAAACTTTGTAGTTAGTGCCCTGCCCCTCCAACGGAGCCTCACTCCTCCTTTGCTGCACCCCCTTTCTCTCCACCACGTTTTGTTTCCTTCAAGCAACCTCTCTTCTTTAGTGTAGTACCGGTCATCAATTTCCGCGAGCCCCCCCCCCCCCCCCCCCCCAGCAAACGATGTCTTAAAAAGACGCTTCTTTGCTCCTGCTTTGATTGGGGCCTTGATCAACTCATTAGGGAGCTTCTCCATATCCTCCACACCAAGCTGTACTTCCTCCTGGTCAATATGTAACGATCCTAATTCAATATTATCAATGCTGGGCCGGTGAGACTCACCCGCCTCCTCCACTGTTTTCTCCAACTCCGCTAGATCAAAACCCCCAGAAATGTCATCCATGAGGCCTTCCTGCTCAGAACCATAATCGACGATCAGCTCGTCCTCTATTCCTCCTTGTTCCTCCATCCGAACATCTGACTCCTCTGTAGCTACGACTGTCTCCCCTATTGCCTCCTCGATTATTTGAGTGCATCCGATGCCTAAATCATCCCCTCCTCCCGTAGCTGTTTTCACAAAAAGTAAACCCTTCCTAACCTTCTTTGCTGACTGTTGTGGTGGGCTATCTTTGTCACTCCCGTCAGTCTTGTTCTCTGCTTTCTTTTCTCGTGTTTCCCGAAGCCTCGTTGAGCCAATTTTTGGATCTTCCGTAGGGCGATGAATGCTTCGTGTTGCCCCACGAAACCGTTTCCCATCCTCCTGTATTGCTGTCGCCTTAGAAAACGTCCTCAATGAATCCCCATTTCATGACTGTTGTGCTCTCCCTGGCCGGGAAACTCTCGTATCCTCTCCTTGGTTCTCCGGTACCTGACCTTTGCCTTTATGTAGCTCCCCTTGTGAGCGATGCTGATCTGTTTGAATTTTTCCGCTTCCTCCCGCGCCCCCAAGAGCTCCTTTATAACTCTTTGAACCCCCGTCTTCTTTCTCTTCTGGATAACGTGACTCCTTTCTTATTTCTCTCCTCGGTTTGACGGTAGGGAACCTGCTCGAATCATGACAGAGGCTAAGGTATACTCGACAGTATCCATGTAGACGCTCATACCGGAGGATCACCGTGGTTTCTTCACCACTATGGAACTCCACTGTTGTTTCCAGAACTATTGCTTTGAACCCATCAATGGTGAGTTGAACTCTTCCACCATCCACATCTACCTGTTTCACCACTCCAATAGCTTCACCAATGCTGCGAAAGGTTGGCTCAGCCCAAAAGTGAAGCGGAATCCCCATCATTCGAACCCAGAAGGTAAGCTCGGACGGGTAGTTTGTCTCCATTGTTGGTTCCCACTTGACCAATGACACCATCCATCCATCAAAGTGGTAAGACTCCATTTTTAGTACCGCTTGTATATCCTCTTCTTCATCAAAATCAAACTGAAACCTCTCCATCCCTAGATCCGCTCCTGCCACACGGTCTTCCACCTTCCATATCCTCGGCATCATGAACAGAAGCGCATTCATCTCTTGAGCTGTCGGATTCATACACCGACCAATAAGAGGGCGTTGATAGCCTTTAATGAGCTCGGAGTTGTCAAAGCTGGGTAATGTAATCTTTAGCCGCGGCGTCAGAGTGCCCTTCCCTTTGTTGGAACCTCAGTTAACAATCTGTGTGGATTGAGACATCACGAAACCTGAGAAAACACGGTTTAGAGACTCCAATAAGTATAAGAGAATATCAAGTTGAGAGTAGGATGCGATGTTGTTCCCGTCATGGAACTGATTTATACTATCTTATGTCTTCCTTTACTCCCGATATGGTATCTAGTAGTAAGCCCCCTTGATTATCATACAAATTTGCATAAACTGAGCCAATTATTGAACCTAATATCCCATCATATCCCATTACCTCCATCATGGCCACCAAGAGACTTTCCTTATTTCTCTTCTTCAGGACAGGGGAAGTTGCAATCACCCATATTCCAAATCGGGCACCTTCCAAACCTTCCGACCGTAACACACGGACAAAGATGTTAGCTTTTAATTCCTTTATTCCCTGAATCATGATTGGTCTTCCCTGTATCCATTGTAAGATCCTACCACCCAGAAAACCTCCATTTGTTATTGCTAGCCAAAGATTGCGAATCCTATTCTTCAAACGTGATCTCAAAGATTTTAATTTCGCCAAAAGAATAAAATTAAAAGAACACTAATACCTGACAAGATATCAATCCATTTAATCTTCCTTCGCAAGTCCGAGATACCCAGAATCTTAGCTTCAGACGAATCTTGTTGATTGCCTCAATATGAATCCTCGATCTCCTATAAAAATCCCATCTGAATATTTGTGCCCGCTTCTTTTCCTTTTGCCCCCGTGAACTTCCAAACCTCTTGAGTGAGAAATTAAGATTCCCCAAACTTAGCACCATAACCCATTCAATCTCGAATCTCCTCCGTCGTATGTTCAGAAACACTTTCATAGTGAACACCCAGAATAAGCCGATACCCTTGTTACCCTGATTAACTCTCATCTTCCGCCATCCCATCCGATCCCCTTTATGATGTTGGATAATTCCAATGACTTCTCTTAGAAGTTATATCCTAAGAAGAAGCTTAGAGAGATTAGGAAAAGGATTCAATAATAAGATTTAGATAAAGTTGTATCTAGATAGATTATATGATTCCTAATAGACTAAGGAGTAGCTTAGATCTATAAATAAGAGATTATGGAGAGATGTTCCATAAGACTCAAGAAAATGTTTAGTTTTGAGAAGTTTCTAAATCAAAAAGAAGAGCAGTTCTTATACTTTCTTGTGTTGTTGATATACATAATCGACTTGAATTGGTATCAGAGCTTCAAGGAGGAAGTCTCGGACCTTAACAAGCTGATATATCGGCTATGGCGGAAGTGAATAATCCGTAGCCACGACAAAGGGAGATTGGATCGTCATCCATCCAATGTCTGATGTTGTCATCGACAAACTACACTGTTTGGGCGATGAGAATGCGTGTCATACTTCGAGTCAATGAAGTATGGGAAACTATCGATCCAGGCTCGGCTGATCTAAAGAAGAACTATGCAGCAATCGCATTGTTATTTCAGTCGATCCCGGAATCTCTGATTCTACAAGTAGGGGAACAGGAGACATCTAAAGGTGTATGGGATGCCATCAAGTCTCGACACCTTGGAGCAGACCGCGTGAGAGAAGCGAGACTGCAAACTCTGATGTCAGAGTTTGATAAGTTAAGTATGAGCAACACAGATTCGGTTGATGACTTTGCTGGAAGGATCTCGGGATTAGCCTCAAAGGCAGCTTCTCTCGGGGACATCATCGAAGAACCGAAACTGGTAAAGAAGTTTTTGAAAGGACTCCCGCGAAACAAATTTATCCAAATCGTTGCCTCTCTTGAACAAGTCCTTGATTTAAACAAAACGGGCTTTGAAGACATAGTCGGAAGACTAAAGGCATATGAAGAACGAGTTGGAGAGGAATCGCAGGGAGAAGAACAGACTAAGCTGATGTGGTCTAACAACAACCAAAACAACCGCCAAGAACAGAGCACCCGCGGTGGACACAACGGTTCACGATGAAGAACGAGAGGCGGCGGTAGAGGCAGAGGGCGAGGTCGCTCAAACCGGAATACAGGAGGAGAAAACAGAGACAACTCGCAAAACCGGAAGAAAGATATGAGCAAAGTCCTCTGTTATAGGTGTGATAAACCGGGGCACTATGTAACGACATGTCCTGATTTACCAAAAAATCAGGAGGCAAACTTGAATGAAGCAGAAGAACCAGAAGCGTTGTATCTCCATGAGGTAGTCTTTCTGAATGAAGACAAGGTGTTCCCGAAACGTTATGACACTAGTGATGATAAAACGAGTGTATGGTATCTTGACAACGGTGCCAGCAATCATATGACAGGAAAAAGGGAGTTTTTCTCGGTCTTAGATGAGAACATCAAAGGAAAAGTACGATTTGGTGATGGATCAGATGTCAAAATCGTAGGGAAAGGAACCATAGTCTTCGTTGGAAAGAAAGGAGAGAGGAGAGCCCTTAAAGATATATACTACATACCTGATTTAAAGCACAACATCATGAGCCTTGGACAAGCAACAGAGAACGGATGTGAGGTTCTGATACACTCAGGTTTTACCCAAATAAAAGACTGCAAGTGCACAGACAATCACAGTAGTATAGATGGGATCGAATCCACATAGACCAAGGTTACACTATGATTCTTAATGAATGAAGTGGAGCTAATACAATGTAATGACTGTTGAATGTAATGCAAAACGAAAATGGCAATTAAAATTCAATAAAAGATCAATTCAAACAAGCGTTAGGTAAAGGGCAATTCGCAGGGATCAGAGATCATGAACCAGACAATTATTCAGGGAACAAATAGCACAGTCTTGAACTCAAACATGAATGTATAGCTAATCCACTGTCGTGGTATCAGAGACTCTATCTAACAACCTAAGATTTTAAACTGTCGTTTAAACTTAGAATTGTAAACAGGCATTAGCGATCAGGTTCGATTTGTTCACAGATTGCCTTAACATCAGCTTTCGTTGGTTAAGGGCATTCTGCTCATCTATGTTCTTTCAGGATTTTAAACAAACACTTTTGGTGTGCTAAACAACCTAAAATCAGAAACTAGGTAGCTAATCAGGTTTCAGCAATGAGATCAACGATAGATGAAGACAACAATTGAAATAACCCTGTCTATGTCTGATTCAATAATTCATAACCCCATTGAAACCCTAAACCTAACTGGTGGATTACTCAGACATGGAAGAAGAAGAAAGGCAAAGAGATGAAGAGAAATTCATAAATAATAGAATAGAAATAACCTGGGGTTCAGAAATCTTCTCAGAGATGTTGAGTACAAAGATCGTCTCCCCAAAACTCACAAATTGCCAAAAGCTCTAAGTCTCAATGAAAAATAAAAGGTAGTCTAAACAATGGCTAAAAATCCAGTCTTTATTGGTCTAAACACGAGCTGGATGAAAAATTATGGAAAACCAAGTCGAAATAGGTAAAACCAAAATTTCCTTATTTTTCTGCGCGACCAAACCGGCTGGTTAAGGCATCGGATCGATCGATCCAAAGTTGGATCGATCGATCTAAATACTCTCGGGAAATCCTGGTCTCATCGGATCGATCGGTCCCTCCCGGATCGATCGGTCTAAAATGTCTCGGGGAAACTTCGACCAAACGGATCGATCGATCCAGTGTGGGATCGATCGATCTAAAATCCTTCGGGCAAATCTTGTCTTTTGGATCGATCGATCCAGTGTGGGATCGATCGATCTAATATCTCTCGGGCAAATCTTGTCTCCTCGCTTCCTTTGGATCGATCGATCCAATACAGGACCGATCGATCTGCACTCCGGAAAAGACTGAATTTGCTCTTTTTCTTCATTTTTTCCTTTGCACTGCCTTGGAATCCATCCCAACGTGTTTTGACCTGTAAAGACTCTAAAAACACTAAAAAGACTCGATAAAAACCTTTGAAAGTCAGTTAGAAATCAGTAAAATTATAGTATATCAACTCCCCCAGACTTAGCATTTTGCTTGTCCTCAAGCAAATACTGAGTAAGGAAAAGAGGTTTGAAAACATAGAAGTCATGAACTCTCTCAAACCCCACCTTTTTTATCAACACCCTTGAACCCACATGCTACAGAGCCAACTTTAGATAAAGTGTCAGTATACATACCGCAAGTCTAGCAATCATCCCATATGAATTCAGCATTCCTTAGAGAAATCTGAGCTCTCCATTGTTGACCCCTTAAAGTTATTTTTGTGCTGTCTCAGTCGAGGTAATATCGATCAAAGAACTTACAGATTCTTTCCTTTCCAAGCTCTAAATCAGACAGTCTCTAGTACAAATCTCCTATTTTCTCTCCCCTTAATCGATTCTCCCTACTTGAGGGTATCATCTCATTTTTTTTCTTTTTTGACTTTCTTTTATTTTGTAGCCCAAGAAATGGTGCTGCTCTTTACTTGTGTTCCTTGTGAGGAGACAGGTTCAAGAGTGCTCACTACTTGTGTTCCTTGTTAGGAGACGGGTTCGTGAGTGCACCATCCTTAGACTTAGTCATTCTTTCTTCCTTTTTTTTTTTTTTTTTTTTACAAGGGGAGATCAAAGAGACTGTACCAAACTTATCTTCATTAGTGCTGAAAGAGGAATCAAGTTCAATGCATGCCAAGCCCCAAGAAGAGAATTTCGAAATTCATTAGGGCGGAGTCAACGTTGGATCCTTCAGACTCTCCAGGAACGTGAACTTTCTCTGTTATGTTGATCCACTTTTAGCGTTCTACTTAACAGAATCTGCGGTTAGCTGTTGTAGCAATGGTCCTTCAAGTGTCAATGTAGAGCGGTTAGTTAAAGAAAAATCCATGACATTCAAACATAGTTTTGACTCAATAAAAAGAAAACATCTTGGACTGACTCTAGAGAAAACAAACCAAAGCAACCAGCATTAGTACCAGCAAATACTCTCCCCCAGACTTACTTCAAACCGTCTCGGTTTTGAAAATAAATCAGAAGAAGAGTATGACAGAAGAAAAAAGTACATGAAAGGGAAAATGATATAAAACAAGGGAAATGATACTACTCTCAATGGTCGCTCTCTGAAGTAGCACTCTGGGTCTGTCCGGTAGCACATCTGCGTCTGCGCCGAAGGGGGGGGAACATCCTCGGAATCTGGCTCCTCATCATCAGCATCCATATCTGGCTCCTCAGCAGCTGTGTCATCTCTAGTCTCTGTAGCCCTGAAACAGGAGGGTGGTCGTGGACAGCTGAGCTTCGGCAAAGCTCCCCAAATCTTCTGCATCATGGAGTTGTTCTTCCGCTGAGAATCAACCATCCAAGCCCATCGATCTGCCTCTGAAACATCTGGAGCAAGGGGGAGAAGGTCATACTGACCAGCATAAGGAGGGAGCAGGGACTCCATAGACTGGCGGGCTGCAGATGCAGTGAAAGGGTCCTGAGGGAATGTGTCTGGTGCAGGAGCATCCTCATAGTGCGGTGGGTGGGTGCTAGAACGAGATGAGCTGCCTCTGCGTCTAGAGACTGAAGCCATGGTCGGGTTTGGGCATAAGTGGACAGCATCAGGTAGGAACTCCAAGTTAGCCTGCGAAGAAAGAGTGGTGATGTCGTTGTTAGGAAGCTGGCAGTACAACTTCCGACCATCCCTGTCCTGAAACTGATACTTGTAGCCTGGCATTAGGATCCCGCTGGCTCTGAAATGCTCCTCATTGAGGAGCCTGTGTGTATCAATCCTCTCTGTGGAAGTAAGATCAATATCATGGTACCTGAAAATGAGAGTCAAAAGGCTACCAATCGCCTCAGTCCGAGATGTAGAAGTGGTAAGGCCTCTGAACTTCTTCCCCACGAGGACATGAGCAAACAAGTATCCAAGGTTCGTGCGAAGAACCGGTGGTGGTGGTAGGCTGTAAATGCTGCTGGCAA